GCTTTATCTTGGCAGCTGGAAACATGCCTGTTACAAGGGAGACTTTCTGAAAAAACCTAGGACTAAAAGTGGAAAGTACCCATATGTAGCATGTTTCCTTTCTTGCAGTGTCGAAACTTTGGATTTGGGTTTCTCAGCCTCGAGGTTCCATGTTGAACTCACTGTAGAATCACTTGGCAGTGGAAGTGCTGAGAAGGTAATGGCTTTCTAAAGTAATGAGCCATTTACTCTCTGGAATTTGCCAGGCAAAGTAATTATGAATAATTTGAAGGTCTGACCCACAAGTTTTACTGCACATTCACAACAGTAAGATGGGAGCCTGGAGGTGTAGGAGCAGGTAAAACTTACAGAGGAACGAGAGGAAGGTCCTGTCAGTGAATCCTGTTCCGTATGACAATCAAATTTAAGATGTTCAAGTCTGCATACCCACCAGTGGGTTAAAAAGCATTGTGTGTGCTTTGGGGGACTCAGTAAATACATGTTGTAATCTGTTCTTGTTTGCTTTGCATTTCTGTGAGAAACACCATGATCAATAGAATCTTGGAGAGAAAAGGATTTATTTTAGCTTATACTTCCAGGTCACAGTTAATAACTGAGGGAAATGAGGGCAGAAACTCAAGCAGGAACTGACACAGAAACTGGAGGAAGGCCAGTTGACACAGAATTCACAGAGGAACACTGCTTGCTGACTTGCTCTCTGGTTCTCTCTTAGCTAGCTTACCTATGTAGTCCAGGCCCAAATGCTAATCACTGGTGCTGCCCACAGTGGACTGGGCGTTTCCTCTTTCCAGGTGACTGTAGGTTGTGTCAAACTGACAATAAAAGATAACCAGGCTGTAGTTTGAGGTAAGTAGGGACAGTTATAATTCCAGTTATCTTTAATCACATGATGTAACAATTGAAGCTGTCTATATGTAATAAACCTTGAGGCCCTAGAGACATCTTCAGGTACCTGTGTGAATGCTGTTTGGAAAGAACATCCAAAGACACATGGTCAGAAACACGAAAATGAAAGGTTCTAAGCAATTATTTGAATTTGTAAGAATGAATTTGCCATCTAGCTGCTTTTCACATGAGCATCTCCATATAACATGATTGACATGGAAGGCTGAAAATACTTACCCATTAGTCATGGGTATAACCCGCAGTATATCTACAGTCCCTCCACAGCTACAAGTAAATTGTGTCCTCACTGGGTGTCGACCAAGTGTCGGACGTTTACACAAGTGCTAATCTTATGAAATACTAATACACAGATGATCCAGCTCTCAGCAGGGGCAGGGAAACAGAACCGGGGAATAGTGACTTAGAGAAGAGATTCCAGGGAACAGCTGAGATGTTGTGGGCTTAACTGGGATATTTAAGGAAGGATAATGGAGACAGGTATTTTTTTAAAGCTTTATTGATATAGTTTATATACCATAGAGTTTATTCACTTTAAGTGTACAAAGAAATTATTTTTACCAGTTTTGAAAAATAATGCAATCATCACCATGAACCAGTTTTTGTTCTACATTCATCTTTCCTTATATTTATTGTACATGGTATCCCATGAGGACAGTTTTATATAAGTACGTATTGTATGTTGAGCATACAATACAATTGTATGTTAGCTCTATACTCACATAAATCAGTTTAAGAACATTAATTTTTAGAATTGTATGTATGTGGGTGTTTTGCCTATGGGTATTTCTGTACCATGTGCCCATGGAAGCCAGAGAGGGTGTTGGATTCACTAGAACTGGAGTTACAGACAGTTGTGAGCTACCCTGTGAGTGCTGGGAATCGAACCTGAGTTCTCTGAAAGTGTAGCCAGTGCTCCTAGCACTGAGCTAGTTCTCCAACTCCCACAAATGAGTTTTAAAAGGTTTTCTTCTCCGTCAACAAAGATCATTTATGTCCATTTATAGTGAAGGGACAAGGAGAGAGAAGGAGAAGATGTTGGTATCGAGGATGCCATCAGAAGAAAGGATTTGGAGGACTAGTGGTCAACAATAACACCTCAAAGAAGTATGGAAAGAGATCAGTGTATCTGCTGGTGGTATCTGAGGGATTTCCATGGAAAGGAAAGAGAGATATTAAAATGTAGATGTTGATCCTAAAATTTTATTAACTTTTTGTTAATATATTTTGGTTCCTTTGAATTTCATGCAATTATGGTAGATTTTTACTATCCTAATAAGGAAAACAGTATTCACTGAAGTTCAAGTTTAGCCTACATTTTTAAGAATACCACTTTTTAAACCACCACTCTCCTTTTCCTCCTACTCACCCTTTGTCCCTACTCCTTCATTCATTCTCTGTCCAAGACCTTAGGATGAAGTTGCCAGGAAAAGTCTGGTCAACAACATTGCAGACACAACCAAGCATTTAAATAGAAAACTGCTACATTCCATATGCATCCTTCCATACACATAAAACTCAAGTTTTCTTTCTGAATGAGGTAGGACCAGCATTTAATGTCACTGTGTCACTGTGGGGATGTCTGTTTAGCTCATTAATGTTACTCAAACAACATTTATACACATCTGCTCCATAAATTCATGTCCATTGATAAGAAAATACTTTACCTACATTCTCATTTCCTCTCATGTGAGCTATAATTCTATCAAAGTGTGCTGATCATTTTCCCAGCCACAGATGTATCCAGTCTTGTCACAGTGGATACCCACAGACTTTTAATATGCTCAAAATTTGTGTTTGCTTTTTCCTCTTTATGATTCCAAATTTTAGAAATAACTCATCTACCTTCATTATTCAGGAGTATACCTGACCCTAAAGCTAGTCAATGAGAAAAAGTTAGAATTGTTTTAATAAGGATTTTCTATATTTCTGGATGCAGTTTTTGGGCCATCTAAGAAGTCACAGGGCTGCCTAGGTGATGGTGTGTATTTATATATTCTCTTAAAAAATGGATTGAACCGAGTTTTACCAGTGTTTGTGTTGTCCATATAACTCTGCTTTTAATATAATAGATAAGATATCAGCACACAATACTTCTAACTGAGAAGAAATTTGTATGGTTTAAAGGAAGAGTCTTACCATCTTCTCTGACGGCATCTTTCTGTTGCATTGGTAATATATACTTTATATAAAATTCAGATTTTGTAATTTCTGAGTTGACATCTGCCCTTGTGGTATTCTTTCTTTCTTCCTTTCTTTCTTTTTCTTTCTTTCTTTCTTTTCTTTCTTTCTGTCTTTCTTCCCTTCCTTCCTTCCTTTCCTTCCTTCCTTCCTTCCTTCCTTCCTTCCTTCCTTCCTTCCTTCCTTCCTTTCTTTTTTTTCTTTTTTCTTTTTGGCTTTTCGAGACAGGGTTTCTCTGTAGTTTTGGAGCCTGTCCTGGAACTAGCTCTTGTAGACCAGGCTGGTCTCGAACTCACAGAGATCCACCTGCCTCTGCCTCCCAAGTGATGGTATACTTTCTTAAGTTTTATAGGGATCAGTGAAGAGCTCAAAGTTTTGAGACAATGCTTTCCTCCTTTGAACCATGTCTTACTGTGTTCTCAGCCAAGCTTCAATGCTCTGGTCTCCAATTTTCCTTCTCTATCCTTTCTCTGGATTACAGGAGCTCCCACTGTATCCATCGTTTCTTTCTTTTTACTTCTTAAAATGATTTTTAATTGTGTGTGTGTGTGTGTGTGTGTGTGTGTGTGCTCATTGGAGTGCAAGTGCTTGCAGAGGTTAGAGGCACTGGATCCCCTGGAGCTCGAGTTATAGTTGCTGATTTGGAACTAGACTTCCTTGTGAGATGCCCAACTCTGATCCTCTCCAAAAGTAGCATGGGCTTCTAATGACTGAACCAACTTTTCAGCCCCCACACATTTCTTGATGGTGACACTATATGATGTGTTCCTGGTACCTTAATGAGATCTAACGGTTCAGTGTTCGTTGGGGGGAAAAGTTCAGGATGAAGGCAGTGTTCCTAGCTCCCATAATACCCACTGATAGATTGACTCTAGTTGAAGAAACAATAATTGAAGACACAAGACTTAAGCTTTAACTTTCATATGTACATATAAATAACATGACTTTTCTCCTTTCTTTTCTCCCTTTTTCTTTCTTTCTTTCTTTCTCTTTCCTTCCTTTCTTCTCTTTCTTTTCTTTTTCTTTATTACTTCCTCCCTTCTTACTTCTTTCCTTCCTTCTTCTTCCTTCCCTCCCTCCCTCCCTCCCTCCCTCCCTCCCTCCCTCCCTTCCTTCCTTCCTTCCTTCCTTCCTTCCTTCCTTCCCTTTATTGGTTCTGTGTGGAATTCACATCATACATTCCAGTGCCACTTATCTCCCTGTCCCCTCTGGGCTCACAATCAACATGACCTTTCAAAATCATTATAGCAAAGAAAAACTTTAAATATCTATTTAGAGGCATTGTCCCCAAATATTTATTTGTACAATTACTAAACAAATTTATTTTCTAGAGTAATTATAGAGTGAAACTGTGGATTTGAAAAAGTAATGCTTTACAAAAACTTTAATTTTAATAAAATAGATAAGAGCCTAAAACTAGCAACAGTTTTAACATCTCCTTTGACTCAGAAAAAAAAATTAGCAATAGAGTCTGAGCTATGGCAGGAAAATCTAAAGTGAACTTTTCTGGTCTCAGGAAGAGTAATTAGATTTTTTTTTTTGATTTGCTAGTCTTCTGAATCTGACTATTGTAAGAAAAAGTCAGGTAGCACATAGTTTATTTAGCAGTAGAGGCATCCCATTCAGATCAATACATAGCTAGGATATTTTTCTATCTGTGCCTGGAGATGATACTCAAATATAGTAATTTATATATTGTAAAAATGATAAGGGAAGAAGCATGAAATAGAAGTAGAAATTCTAAAGCAATTATTCTATATCTGTTGTGTTTACAGCTAATGTCAAAAATCCCCAAAACCCATTTCAAGAATATCTACCATGTGAAGTATACGTTTATTCAATATAAGAAACTTCTGAAAACCACCATTTGTAAAACAAAAATCTGTGTTATGGCAGCTGCAGATATGAAATATCCATTAAGGCATTGGAGAATAATTTATTTGCTCAGTTAAATATAACCATATCATAGTGTAACATTCATTTTAAAATTTAACACATGAACTATGTCAGCATGTCAAGTACTTTACAAAGTACTTTTACACTTAACATTAAAAAAGTGCTATTACCAACATCAAAAATGTTTTGAGGCTGATTTTTCATGTTGGTATTCTGTAGTGGTTTTTGATGAAGGTCACTTGTGCTCAGAGGCACACATTTTTCACCGTGCCTGACCTCTTCTACTGCAATGGCGCAATGTGATGTTCCTGAAGTCATAATGACTGAGCTGTGAACCACGATTTGTGATATGATCATATCTCAGTTATCCACTGGTGCTAATTTATCTCAGTCAAAGTTTTTAATGGTTTTGTTAATTAAAACTCGAGCCCTTGGGCATCCTACCCATCTTCCTTAACAGAAGAAAATTCTGTTTTATCAACTTCAACCCCCAAATATAGCAATGTTGAGTATCTTGATTTGTTGACATGTACACTCACCTTATCAGCCAACACAGCCCTAAGTTTGAACTTCCGCTTGTTCTCTCCCTTTCACCAATCACCATGCACATGAGGCACAGTCGAAACACCTGGTGAACTTTTGTGCCTCTGGTCCTACCCCACACAGTATACATGTAGATATAACTGTCCTTGAACACTGTCATAGCCTTTTCCTGTCTGTGCTAGCTAAGAACACTGGCAACTTCCATGACCTATTATATATACATCTGTACTTTTGATCCTGACAGTTTATTTTCCCCTTCCTCTGACTTTTGCTTGTAGCAGTCTCATTTCTCCCTGCTCCATATAGCACAGCCTCTCTGCAGCTTCCAAGCCATCTGGTGAAAGGCTTGCTTCTAACTACATCCCTGCCCGTGCAGATGTCACCCTGCATCATGAATGCCCACTGCTTACTGAGGCAGTCCATCCCATTTTTTAATAAGCCAGTAGAGATCATTTTCCATTTATAAATCAAATAAATCATCCATGTTTTTTTCCACAGTTGTCTTTGTGTGTGTCATTGGCAAGAAGTCTTTCTTAATTGTTTTTCATATGAGTGCTGTATCTTCAGTGGTGCTTTGCTTATGCATCGCGGAAGGGTCTTTGCAGTGAGACTGTCATATTTTTAAACCCAGATCTTCCCTCCCACCACCTCAAAGTCCCAGAAGCATGACTTTTAACTCCAGGCAATTAAATATATATATTTGGTTACTAAGCAATACAAAAATTGGTAACTATTTCTATATATTTATGAACTATAGCTAAGAAAGGATAATAAAATGCTTATCTAGCAAATGATTTCATGCATTTAATTGCTAAGATTAAGTGCAAAGGGTAGGGATGTATCCCCATGGTAGAGTTCTTGCACAGCATGTGGAAGGTCCTGGCTTTGAACTTCAGTACCATAAAAAGTTTAAATGTAACCCTTACCCTATTCTTTGCCCTGTACCATTACAAACACATGATCTATTTAATTGTTTAATCAGGGAATATCATGTGCTACATGATTATCTGTAATTGGTTAACAGAGACAATACCATATCTTGTATATCTATTTAAATTTTGAAGAATTTAGATTATTACAGTTGTGAGTGAATTATTTTCTAGATCACAAAATAATCAGTATGCTTAATTTTACCTATGCAATTTCATTTAATGATGATCGATTGGTGCTTGAAACAAGGGTTGTTTATATCATGGCAGAATTCCCACTAAAACTTTTTTGCTGACAGAATAAATGTTGATTTCTGGATTGACTGCTTAGGGTTTGGAAGTCCTGGTCATACACAGACTGCAGCTCTGGGGTTGGTTGGCTTCAGGACAGGGGGTGATCCAATCATGAAAGAACTAAGGAGGGCTTTTCTGCCTCCCACTTTCTTATATTGTGTTTGTTTGCGGGTTCTGAGTTATCAACAGTGAAGTATTATTTGTAAGTTATTACTTTTACTAGGTTGCTTTTTAGTCCACTTTTATGTTTGACCATTAGTTATCTATATAGTTTTCAAAGGCAAAATGTATAAGGCTTAGACATAATTATGCATCCTATGATACCTTAGCTGTCTGGATGAAACTCGTGTTCTAACATTGAACTGCTTCCCTAACATTCATTTTCATGAGTGAAAAATCTAATAATTCATTTACTTTAAAGGTTTGCCTTGGGGATCAACAATTATTTTGATTAAATTCATTTAAAAGAATAGATGAAATCTGTAAACATTTAGAAAATCCATGTGGGCTTTGGAAATATAAGCAATCTAAAACGTATTTGAATCTGTAATCTAAATCTAATGAAAATCCATGCTTGGCTCTGCTCAGATAGGGATGATGGCCTTTGTATCTAAATATAAAAAGGTACCATAGTTGTTCAATTTCATTGACTAAGGGGCAGCTGAGGGTGGAAGCCTTGTGTACAAGAAAAATCCGCAGCTTTGTTTCTCAGCTCTTACTCAGTACGTGCGAAACAAAGAATGACTCTAAAATGATAAGGTTGTTAAGTGTGATGATAACTACTTGATTTTTCATAAATCTTGTTCTTCCACTATTCTTATTCAGTCTAACGTGCCATATATAACCAGCTAGTTTAAAAGGCAAACATTTGTCCCTTGCATACTTCTCAATTGGATCTTGTGTTCCTTCTGTAGTTTTGAAAAACGTCCTTCATCAGCAGTATTCACAATTACTAAATATAGGCCATATACTCAATAAATGAGGAGGTATTATCCCATGTTTCTAACAGCAGAGTGCACTATTTTACAAGGAGATAGAGCTTTGTGGCTTAGTAATTCATTTTCTTATTAGACTGTGTTTTGTGTGTTTCTTATTATAGAGTTCAACTGTAAAGTATACTAGCCTTTTCCTGCTATGTACCCTGCACGAAACTGTTGTCTAAGATACAAACGAAGAGCATTACTGCCACCGAGTTCCCCTTTTAGTGAGAGCAAAGGCAAAGTGGGTTTCGGGTCGGGGAGAGACCGTCTCTTCCTACGCGTCAGACGCGTCTGCCCCAGAGCCACACTTGCGGCAGAAGATCTCCGCGTTCTGAGTCAAGAATCCTTCGCCCACCAAGGAGACGGAGCATTTCCCACAGTTGAAACACTCGCTGTGCCACTGGCGGTCTTGAAAGCAGATGAACTTGGCACCTCTGAGACCTGGAAGGGAATTGGAGGCAAAGAGTAATTCATTCTTTTCAATGAACAGATTGAGAAACTATTGGATTAGAGTGGTTAGCAAGACAATGTGGACACACATAACTCCGTAGGGTGTGGCTCTCTGCCTTCATATCCAGCTAAGAACTTCAGCCATATAAGATTCCTGGCTCAATTCTGCTGCAATCTAAGGAAGTAAAACAAATCTTGATATGTATTGTTTTCTTTTAATTGTTTTGGGGCGGAGGCAGATGAAAACTACAAGAGTCAGGAAACCAGTGTGCAGCGGGAAGAGAGAAGCCCACAATGTGCAAACATGAATGCATTTTGCCCCGCTCTTCGTGTGAGCAAGTTTTCTTAGCTGCAAATTGAAAACATCATAAAAGAAATGTATACTTCTGAGCCTGGGGCTTGATGTTTTTAGTGACTTCAATTTTCCTTTTCCCTTATTTCCCCATGCTTCATGTTACTTGGAGTAAATCCTATTTGGGGAGATTTGAGGCACAAGTTTCCAAAGACCAAGTTGAGAATTTCTTCCAGACTTCCATAGCCCTCTTCTTCTCCAGTAACAAGTTTAGTGCCTGGCTCTGCAGCAGCTTCAGTTCAGAGTCCTAGTGTAAACGGAGGAATCTCTTCACTCTAGATACCTGCTCGCCTTACTCAAAGAGAAATTCCAAGAAGGCCTTCAGCCCTCATCACTTTAACTTTGTCTTTACTTGAGCTAAGTTACTTCTTAAAGCACTCACTAAAGCACTAACCCCTGTCTGTCTAATATAGTTTCAGTTCGACAAAGAATGCTGAGTAGTCATAGGAAAAAGAAAAGCTCCAGAAGCTGAGAGGTGAGCCATGTCACAGGTTGGCTCCATTCATTGCATTTGACAAGTGGACAAGGAGTGTTCATGTTATGGGTTACCGGTGCCTTGCTTATCACCTCTGGAGTGAAGAAAGTATTTCCTGTGCTGACCCCACGTGCACTGCCCAGTTCTCTCATGAGATAAAGAATCTCAAGGTGTGACTATGAATCTATTTCAGGTTAGTTCTCTGAAAGTGATAATGGACTTTTAGCTAACGTCTTTTTATTTAAAATGTTTATATATGTGTCTATCTGTGCACATGTATGTACAGGTGCCTGAGTATGTCAGACAAGGTGTCAGCACCACTGGGGCTGAATTTACAAGTGGGTGTGAGTTATGCAGTGTGGGTGCTGGGATCTGAACTCTGGTCCTCATGATTGAGCAGTAAGCTCTCTTAACCACTGAGCCATCTTTCTGTCTTTATACAGAGTTTGGCTCATAAAGAAACCAAGATCTTACCTCAGTTTTCTTTATTAAACATATCGTTTATGTATCCATGATAATGTAATTATTATCTTACACTGAGAGTAAACTAGTCCTATCTGGTTTTATGTCAACTTGACTCAAGCTAGAGTTTTCCGAGAGGAAAGAACCTCAAATGAGAAAATGGCTCCACAAAGACAAGCTGTAGGCAAGACTGTAGGGCATTTTCTTACTTAGTGACTTGTGAGTGAGGTCCATACCTATTACAGGTTTAACCATCTGTAATGGCTGGTGGTCCTGAGTTCTATAAGAAAGCAGACTGAGCAAGCCATGAGGAGCAAGCCAGTAAGCAGCACCCATCCATGGACTTTGCATCAGCTCCTGCCTCCAGGTTCTTTCCGTTCTAGAGTTCCTGTTCTGACTTCCTTCAATGATGAACAGTGATATGGAAGCATAATTTAAATAAACCTTTTCCTCTGTAATTTGCTTTTATTCATGGTGTTTTATTATAGAAATAGAAACACTAAGACATATACCACTTAATTATCTTCTTAAGTTTTAGTAGCTTTAAGAATAAGGTTTCTTTAATAATAATATTAATTATTTATATATTATAAATATATCATTAAAGAAATAATCTTTCTCAGTAAAACTAACTATTGAATGGGTAGGACTTTGATGCTTATGAGTTATTCTCAATTTAATTAGCAAGCCACAGACAAGTGGCAAACATAAAAGTAAATATATAGTTTAACACAGAAGAAAAACGAAAGCATATAGCAGTAGGACAGTAAAGTCTAGTCCAACCCTTGAGGTTTTTATATTTTTTTTCAGATTTGGTTGTGTTTCCTTATTTAGGTCAACAGAGTCATTTACAGTCTTTTAGGAAACTGATCTGCTGCTGGATATGGTAGTACATACACATCCTTTATCCCAGCTACTTGAGAGGCAGAGGCAGTCAGGTCTATGTGAGTCCAAGGCAAGCCTAGTCTACATATTGAGTTCCAGGCTAGCCAGGGCTCAAAAAGAATAAAAGAAGAAGAAAGCAAACTGATCTTTGACACCAACTTCATCTAGCTTCATTTGTACCTGAAAAGTCAGTAAAAAGGTAGTTTATTGAGTTTTGAAGTTTGCCACTCTTCAGTCTAAGCCCGAATGTGTATATATAGCCCTCATCTAACCTTCATAGAATAGATAGTAGCATCATCTTCAATTTGTAGACAAATATCTACCAAGGAACAGAGAAGTCCAGCCTCTCATCTAAGGTCACCAACTGGCAAGATCTGACTCAAACGCTACAGTCTGGCTTCCCAGTCCGTACTGTTAACCTCACTAAATTAACTTTATCTCTGTGAAGAACGTAACTGGGAACCTTAGTGCTCCCATCTGTATAAAGTTTAGAGCTTGAAACTCCATTTTCACTAAGTAAAAAGAAATGAAGAGAAGGCAATCCTTTTCCAGTCATTTTGTAGATATGGCAAGAGCAGGCCTCCAGGGGGAGGTATTTACCCATAGTCACACAGCGGCTGGCAGTACAAGCAGAACCAAGGTCTGTTAATACCAGGTTCAGAGCACTTTTGCTAGGTCAAGCTACTTCGTCTAGCTCAGATAGTTCAAGAGGTAGTGAACACCTTAAAAAGGGAGAGATAAATGTTGTTATACATTCTAAGTATTACTCTCATAAATAAGTGTGGCTTCCATCTCTTATCAAAGAAGCTTCTCTTTATAGCAAATGGAGGCCATTGCAGAAAACCACACCTGGACAAGATGTGGAGATCAGCTCAGCCTCAACAGTTACATGTACAACATAGGTCTTGCACTTTAAATCTCAGGGCGTCTTTGAAAAGGGGATGGAAAGATTGTAAAGGGCAGAGGACTGTGAAGTGGCTGAGATTGTGTCTCCTAGAAATAGCTGCATTAACAAGACCTGGAGGGATAAAAGAATCTCGCTGGTTCCAATGTCTAGACAAAGCAACACAAGTAACAAATGACTGCCTAGAAAGGGAGAATCAGCCTTTCCCAGGGATTCCTATCCTAATTGGTTATACAGTACAAAGTAGTCATCTCTGAAAACATATCGAAAAGACAATAACAACAGACTCAGTAGACTATACTTAGTATATATTGTTGCATGTGTGTGCATGTTGCAACAATAATCAAAGGAAAAGAGAGTATCCAATTGAGAATGAGGAGGAAAATGGGAGGAGTCTGAGAAGGAGAAATGGGAAGGGATGAAGGGAGGAAAGTAAAGGAAAGAAGTGACATAATTATATTTTAATTAAAAATAAAACTGAAAAAAGAAAATCATAGTTATATCTGTTAGTTCAAATAAAGTCAATTCATTGTAATAGTATCAGCAAATTACATTAAACCACCTCTAGGTAGAGTTAGTTAACATAGGATACTATACTAAAAGCATCCTAATAGAAACAGCTTCTCTTAAAACATTGATTTTTAATTGTATATATTTGCAGTATGTAGCATGATGTCACGGTATATGCAAGCACTGTGGAATACCTAAATCAATCTAGTTAACATGAATTACTTCAGATACATCTTTTAAAATTCAGTATTTTATAGATTTTCAATGATGTAATGCATTATCACCTACTGTAGTCACCACAATGTACAATAAGTTTCCTGAACTTGAACTTCCCTGTAAGAAAGCATAGCTCCTAAGACGGTTAAGTGCTTGCATCAATTCACATCTTCTGAAGATAAACACAGAGCATTCCCAGGATTCCCTGTTGTGTTAACCCAGACAGTTCATTTTAAAGAAGCCTTACTTTAGGGCTTTACATATATTTAAGAAATATAAGAGTGATCTAGCAGTTTTTGCAGGCATTTCAGTCGCAAGACAATCCTTAGAAATTCCTTTAGATTGACTCCTCTCATATAAACACTGTCAATTTAGATTAACCTGGGGTCTGGTCTTCTATGTTTTTGTGTAAAACTGTTGATTTCTGTCTATACTGAATGAAGCTTTGTGCAGTTGGCTGATGAAACATTTACCAGAAATACCATTTAGGCACATGGGTCTGTGATGGATCAGAATTGAACCCCATTAAAGTCAGGGCTTGCGTAGCCTCCATGAGATCCCTGCTAGCTGTTAGAATTCTTTAAGCGCTGTAAAAATATTTTACATTATTTAACCTTTTAGTTTCCTCATCAGAGGACCACTCTTTCTAGGCCAGTTCAAATGAAATTAGAGCAGACTGTGATGGGAGAATTTACTAAGCAGGTTCTGGAGTCTGATGTGTTAAAACTTCAGGATGCCCCATGTTCTAACTAAGGGCGATGGAACTGGTAGCTGCCTCCCTTTGCAGGAGCTGCCAGATGAACAGAGAATAGGAGAGCAGAGTGGTTAGGAACACTCTGAGAACATGCTGAGAAGCCCAACAGTCTGGAACTGTTAACATGGAACCTTGTAAGCCAAAAAGGTAACATAGTTGAATGACAGAGAAAGAGGGTGTGTTAGGAACAGAGAAGACCTGGCTGCTATAATAGGGTGGTCACCGTGCTGCTTGGGAGAGTGACTTGGGAACGTGAAGGCAGTCAGACCATTTGTCACCAGCTCTCAATGTGCTTTTAGTTGTAACAATGGTTTTTATATTAGTCTCCTCCCTAACCCTGTAAATTAAATATTGGCCAAGTAAAACCTGTCTGATAGCCAAACACAACCTATGGACCAGTGTAAATCTGAAAAAAATATGGTGCCCCCTGGGTAGACAAACAGGATTGTGCTTAAATAGTAAATAATAAATAAGGAGGACCACTTCCTCCCTTTTCAAGTAGGCAGAAAGCCTTCAAGTTTAGCTTAGCAGAGAAAATGTTTTCCTTCATTAGAAAATTCATGTAGATTCAACATACACACGAGAGAGAGAGAGAGAGAGAGAGAGAGAGAGAGAGAGAGAGAGAGACAGAAATTGGTGAGATCAGAAGAGGAAGGGGAAGAAAGGGAATAACCTTTAAGTTGGTGTTACACAAACTGAGCTAAAAATGACATATGAACTAAGAATACTGAGAACAGAAATGGAAATACATCTCTGTCACATCATTAATGACAAGAAGTTGCCTGGAAGAACAGTTTCTGGGTTTTCCAAGTCCCATGCTGGCTTCAGCATCTTTACCACAGGATTAATGCTTTAGAGACGGTTCTGAGGCTCCTGCAACCCTGCGAGAAGCTGCTTAGCATGGATGGATTTGTAACCTATGTTATTCTTCAAACCATGTCTCATGCACTTTATTCTTTAGTTGAATACTATATTGTTTTCTTTCATAATCAAGTTGCTGCCAGTGAGTACAGAGAAGGCAGTGATATGTTTGTTTAAAGCATCTTAAAAAGAAATGAAATTAATTCCTGTTCAATGTTACTCTAATTACAGCTTCGGCTATTTTATAGAATAGTTTAATTAAAACCTTTTGTGTTTTAAATCTGTTTGACTTCTGTTGTAAAATAAGTAGGATTCTGATTCTATAATAGTCCTCTGCCCTCTCAATTCCTGAGTCTCAAATTGGGCCTCCTTACCGGGGCCTTCTCTGACCCTTTAGCTTACCCATTTTCCTCCCTTGGACTATGGCTGTCCTTAGAAACCATACCATTCAGTTAATTAGTTACTTTGTACAATGTACAAACACCCAAATTGTATCCTGTCATTTCCTTGAGGTGCCCATGTAAAATTTAAATTCATAAATGAGTATCTATTTGTGTTTATCCCAAAAGGAAATGTAGCAGATAAAAATGTTTTAATTTGCATTTCCTAAATTAACAAGGTGGCATTTTACATAGTTCTAACCAGATCATGGAAGAACCATGACGAGCCGAAGCACTTACCAGTGATGGGTTTGGTGCAGGCTGCACACTTTTTTGCATAAAGATGGTTGTAGCAATCCAAGCAGAATGGGAAATCATCCCTGGACATAAATGCCTCCTCACAAAGCTCTTTCCTGCAGCCGCTGCACAAAAAGCACTCTTTATGCCATAACTGGTCACGGAAGGTTATCCCACCGGAAGTTATCACCTGCCAAGGCATTAGCAGAAGGCAATGAGTGGATGCCTGTGCAATTCAGACATTCTCATGATGCTTCTCCATGCCGACACTTGTGCTCTGAACTGTCTAGTACCTTGCATTAGGACGCTTGTTTTCTTGGAAACCTCTTTAAGTTTTGGAAAACAATATGAAAAACAAAATGTTACAAGGATTATAGAACTTCAAAAATGCAAATAAGTCCAACTTTCTTAAAGAATATATCAGAAAAGAGGTAGAAACCCCTTGGACCGGGGAAGATCATGAAGGAAGCAGGAGCTTGATTTGATTGACTTCACCTTTTTGTAACTCTTCTTATTTCCAACTCCCAAGATCTTTTGTTAAGGTTACCATAGCTCTACTCTACACATTTATAACAATATCTGACATTGGATAATGCTGGAAAACATGATAAAATGAAACAGAAGTCATGGTACTTTTTTTGAAAGCTCACTGCAAGTCTGAGAGACTCAGTTGTGGATATCCTGGGTGGAACTGATGAGCAATCACCATCATTGGGAGCAAAGACTCACTTTTTACCCCATCCTCAGTACTGGATTAGGAATTATCATTTCTGGATATTCTCAACACCTCTACGTGGCATAGACTCGCTCCATCTGTAGATGGACAGCCCTTAAGTGATGGATGACAGGGCCACTCGCTACCCCCACTGAGGAATTGCACTGAACTTGCACGTACTGTACTATCTGTGTGCTCAGCCATGTGGGAAAGGCATTCTAGTACCACACTTTGAACAAAAAGGGCTTGAATCTAATGGGTGAGTTTTTCACTTCAGGTCTCAAATGGTGTACAGAGTTCATATTCCTACTATGAACATAAAAGCTGGGCATGAAGTCATGAATCAGTAAGGTGTATTGAGGCTCAGATGCTTATTTGTTCTTTCTAATGCTGACATAGTGCTGGGGGATTGAACCCAGGACCTTATGTGTTCCAGGAAAATATTTTATCACTTAACCCATAATACATTCTTTTAAGAATCAATTTATTCCTCATGTTCTTTGAAAGGTGGAATCATCTTTTTTGAGAATCAGGTTGATAGATACTGGTTAAGTATTCCAGTGTGGCTGCTTTGCAATCATCTGTTTCTTCAAATCCATGCATGTTGACTTCATACAGCTGTGGAGGACACTGGAATATGTTCGTGTCTGTCTCTTACAAAGACCAAGGAAATGGGATGATGAAGATGGCTTCTACAGATCTGTATCAATTTTACTACATTTAAAATAATGTAAGCATACTTTAAGCTAGCTTTCTTTGCTATCAAACAAACATGGACATACTGTTTGTCTATTGTACAGATCTTTGAAAAAATATTCTAAACACAGTTAAGCCTTATATCAAGTTTCTCAGAACGTAAAGATAATTGATAGGAGTCAAATTTTCTAGAATGAAAAAAAAAGGCCTACTATGCTGTCCTGCATAAGTAAATGAGGAGCACAGCAGTATGTGGGAAGGAAAGCAATTTAAAATGCCTCCCACTGACTTCAAACGCCTGACAGCAGGCACAGGCGAAATCATGCTTCCTTTGATTTGTTTGGTCAAATGATTTGTAGGCAGTGCTTAGAAGATTTGAAACTTGAAAAATGGATTCCTAGCAAAATAATATATCCTAGAGCTCTGGAATATTTGGGAAAAAAATTTGCTGGTGATTATATTCCTTTTGAAGAAACAGACAGCAAAGATGAAGTCTAATATTTAAGCCTTGGTTGACCATTGACTTAGAACACATTTCTTTTCTTGTGTGTATATATGTGTGTGTGTGTTTGTATGTGTGTGTCTGTCTTTGTGTGTTTGTATGTGTGTGTGTTTGTCTCTGTGTACATGTGTGTGTGAGTGTGCATGTCTATCTGTGCATCTCTGTAGAGGCTAGACGCTGACATTAAATATCCTTGTCTAGCACTTCCCACCTTTCTTTTTGACAAAGGCTTTCTCACTGAACTTTGAGTTCTCCATTTCATCTAACCTGGCTCTACAGCATGGACTCCCCACACCGTGCCGTCTCCTTAGCCTGGCAGTGAGGATTGTGGACACAGTAGAGAGCAGTAAAAGAACTTAAGGACACATTTAATTTTATTTTTATCCTGAGGAATTTGAATCTGAAGCACTTACAGTTTGAACCACCAATTTCTAAGTAGAAAATTCTAGTGTAACAAAACAAAATTGGTGAGGGAAAACATAAAAGTCTGGTTGACAACAAGTTTGGTTCTATTTAAGCCAAGTTTTGCTTCTGGATTGAATCGAACAGAGTCTTTCTTTAATTTTGATCACAATCACTTATATCCAGCTTTTCTTAAAGGGTGTGTAGTCTAAAAATTAAATAGAAAATATCGAGTCATCATCTGTCTACAACCCAATGAGAACATTTCCTAAGCTCCTAATGGCTTCAAATCCTGTCCTCCATATAGCTACAGTCTTCCATAGCCTGAAAAATCCAGCACTTTGTCCCAGGTATCTTGAGTCTTTATAATAACATTGAAAGGAAGACTATTGTGACCAATAAATTATACGGACTTCCCACAAGTTTCATTAACGCGTTAGCCTAAACTGAAGCCTAAGTCTGAAACCTCAGAACAAGAGACGCCTACTCATTTTGTTCCCAGCATGTGCTATAAATGCCCCTGACTCTGGAAGCCATGAGGCTTCTTATGTCACGTGGTCATAGCACAGGGTTTGATTGTTGCTCGAATCATCCTTTTCAAAGCCAGCATTTCTGGAAAGGCAATAGAGACTTTCAGGTAGCGAATGATCTCCCATGTTGTTACTACTCTATTATATTCTATATAATAGAATAATTATAAGTCTGATGAGTGTGTTGGTTACTTTCGTCCCTAGGTAACACTGGTATTACCAATATAAGCAGAAATTTGCCGTACTATGTACGCATACATCCATACTTGTGTATGCACCTGGGGAGTGTAATGAGCTGTCCAGATGGAAATACACAGTGGTTTTGAGAGCCGTCAAGGCAGTTAACAAATCACAGTGTTCAGGAGCCAACACAATCCCTTGTCATGATTCAGCATTCTCCTACAATCCACAGTGCCATTTTAAACTTGTGGTGCTTCACGTGTCAAGGCTTTCTTTGAGAGTATCAGTATATATTTTATGAGTATAGACAGGCTTCATCTAGATGATGGACATGAGTCACTCTTCACATAAAAGCCTGGAGGGTGAACTAGGTCATGTTTATTTCTAAAAATGACTTTTCCCTTCTGGAAAGTATGCTTTGAAAGGGAAAATGAGTGAGAGGGCGCTTGCTTTTGTGCTGGAGTGGGAAATGAAGAAAATCGCAGTTCTTGGACTTTCTGTGTCCTCAAGCGAACTGGATTTCTCTCATGATCTGCCACTTACCTACCAGTCTTCTCCTTGAGAACACAAAGCCTCAAGTTCAGAAGAGACTTTAGTAACTAGAAAATAAAAGGCAGGGTTTCTAGTACCTGTTCCCGTCAATCATTCTGAGGGGCAAATCCATATTTCTCTGAAACAGTTAATACTAAATGGATCAAAACTGTCGTCTAGGAAGCACAGGGAAATGTAGCTGTCCCAGAACAAAGTTTCTATACAACAGTTAATGTGACTGGGAGGTTAAATCACCTGTGTTATTGAACATTAAATCCATGATCTAAGGTGGAATTTTATACAACTCCAAGAGCAAGACATCTTTATTATGAGAATTTTAGTTTGGACTGTGTTGAAGTTTAAAGGCTACCTCATGCATGATGGGGTCACTTCATTCCAAATATATAAGGCAGCCAAAGAACAAAAACAACAACAGTGTTCTGGAAGTTCTCATGGCTTCACCCTCTTTAGATAGTTACCTTCTTACAGAAGTTGCAATAGTGAGCGAACTCCTTCTCAAAGCACGGCACACAATAATTGCCACTCTCTTTCGAGATCAGAGGCTTGGTTCCTATCGGCTGTCGGCAGTGCTCACACACAAAGCAGGTTTCATGCCAGTAGTTGCCCTTAAATTCCATTTTTCGAGAACCTGGATTCCAAAGTAAGACTCTGTTAGAAAAAGCTAGGCATACTTGTGTTTTCTTTAAGAAAACATGCCTCAATTATTTAAAATATTTTAAGTATAATCATAATAAACTGTATTGCTGTATAAATAAATAGTAAAAAAAAAGCTTTTAGAAAAATATTTTGTAGTTTCTGAGATATTCCTTAGAGAAAAGAAAAATTGCTTCAGTTCTGCTAGGATAAGAGTAGAGCGTGCACAGAAAACCCCTGCAGTTTCTCTAAAAGTTATGGGGAAGCCCTGCATGTCGAGATTTGGACTGGTTCATGGTTCAGACAGATTGAGTCATAGCTGTCATTAGACGCATAATTCTAAATGCCCAAGGCACTACTTCTGTGATACAGGTTATGGAAATGGCTTCTGAATTTGACTTTATATTAATAATAGTGGTAGTAGTAATATTGATTAGAGTGCTTCCAGGTGGGGTTGACTGATTCATGGTCTTATGCTGCTGTCCACAGGGATAGGAAAGGGAGAGAGAGAGAGAGAGAGAGAGAGAGAGAGAGAGAGAGAGAGAGATTTTAAGAGCCAGAGGAACAAAACTCTGCCGTGAGATTAGTTATGAGTATTAGTTATGAGTGCCTTTTGGTATGAGAAGATAGCTACACCAGTGAAATCTCAACAGCATGGCTTCCTAAACAAGACCTGAACAATTCCAACAACAGCTGATGTTCTAGCACAGATGGGGAAAATGTCATGGGGCCCCACCACTAAGTGAAGAGCTATGACTAACAGCTGTTGAGATGCGGACAGAGGGGTTGTTATTATTTCCTAGGGACGAGCCCCTGGTCAGTTATCTGATCCTACATGGTCAGTCCTGGAACACACAAACCTGCAGGAAACCCTGAACGCCTTCAACAGGCTGTATTTGTATACCTGTTTGTGTTTATGTCTGTAACAACAAAGGTTAATGACAAAGAGACTGCAAATCTGAGAGAGGGACAAAGCTAGAAGGGGTACAGAAGTAAACAGGGAATTCTCAACAGAAGAATCCCAAATGGCCAAAAGAAATTTAAGGAAATGTTTAACATCCTTAGCCATCAGGGAAATAAAAATTAAAATGACTCTGAGATACCATCTTACACCTGTCATAATGGCTAATATCAAAAACACCAATGATAGCTTATGCTGGAGAGGGTGCGTGCGGAGTAAGGGGAACACTCATCCATTGCTGGTGGTACAACCTCTTTGGACATCAGTATGGTGCTTTCTCAGAAAATTGGGAATCAACTTACCTCAGGATTCAGCAATACCACTCTTGGGCATATGCCCAAAAGATGTTCAATCATATCAAAAGGGCATTTGTTCAACTATGTTCATAGTAACATTATTTGTAATATCCAAAACCTGGAAACAACCTAGATGCCCCTTAACTGAATGGATAAAGAAAATGTGGTATATTTACACATTAATGTACTAGTCAGTGGAAAAAAATGACACCTTGAATTTTGCATGTAAATAGATGGAATTAGGAAACACTGTTCTGAGTGAGGTAACCCAGACCCCAAAAGATGAATATGGTATGTACTCACTCATAAGTGGATACTAGCTATAAACAAAGGACATTGAGCCTGTAGTTCATGATCCTAGAGAAGCTAAGTAATAAGGTAAACCCAAAGAAAAACATATATAGATCCACCTGGAATTTGGAAATAGACAAGATTGCCTGACAAAATTGGGAGCATGGGGCTGGGGGGAGAAGGGAGGGTGGAAGGGGAAGAAGAGGGGTAAAGGGGAAGGGTGAGGAAAACTTGAGAAAATGGGGTAGTCGAGATGGAGGAAGGTCAGAGATAAGAGCAAGGAAAGAGATATCTTGATTGAGGGAGTCATTATAGGGTTAGCCAAAACCTGACTCCAGAGAAATTCCCAGGAATCCACAAGGATGACCGCAGCTAGAACCCTAAGCAATAGAAGGGAGGGGGCCCAATCTTGACTTGCCCTGTAGTCAGATTGATGAATATCTTAAAAACCACCATAGAGCATCATCTAGCAACTGATGGAAACAAAGGCAGAGACCTGCATTGGAGCACTGGAATGAGGTCCAGTTGAAGAGTGGGAGGAATAAGAATGTGAGCAGAGCTCAAGACCGTGATGGGTTCACCCACTGAAAAAGTCTACCTGAGCTAGCGAGAGCTCTCTAACTACAGCCAGACTGGCAAGGAACAAGCATAGGACCAAACTAGTCCCTCTGAATGTGGTTGACAGTTGCATGGCTGGGGCAGACTGAGGGGGTCACTGACAGTGGCACCAGGATTTATCCCTACTGCATGTACTGGCTTTTGGGAACCTATTTTCTTTGGGCTGATACCTTGCTCATCCTGGATATAGTGGGGAGGGCCTTGGACCTTCCCCAAAGGAATGTGCCTTGCCCTCTCTGAGGACTTGATGGGAGTAGTGTGGGAGGGTATGTGGAGAGAGTGGGGGAAGGGGAGGGAATGGAAACTTGGATTGATATGTATAGTAAACAAAAAAGGATAGCATCTTTTCTTTTTCATATACACACGAAAAAAGAAAAGGCTAAATTGGTAAAAGGGGCTTGCTGCTATGCCTAATGGCTTAAGTTTGATCCCTGAATCCCACTTCATGGAACGAGAGAACTGACTTATAAAAATTGTCCTCTGGCACTCCCCACAACAGAAAAACAATAGACACAATGAATGAATGAATGAATAGACTGATTAAAAAATGAGGACTTTCTCCAATGTCTGATAAAGAACGATCCCTTTTAATGCCATTGGTTATGCTCAGGACAGAACATTTTCTGTTGTGTTTCTGGTGTAAGCTTTATCACTTAGAGTTGTCTCTGGCTCAACATGTTTCTGTGAATTAGGTTATATGAAAATAAAACATTGAGCACTGTAATAACCTTACAAAATTAAAGAGCACTGCAATATACTTTGACCAAGAAGAACAGATGATTAGGAATTAGAGAAAACAGGCAAAAACATTGACTTTCTCAGACCAGTGTTGTGAGGCACTGGTGCTGGAGGAAGACTGATAAGGCTTCCTTGGGCAGAGCCAGGAGCTGGGTTTGGGTCTCACCTGGCATGATGTTTCTCTTGCAGTGGAAGCACTTGGAGGAACACTCGTTAGAATAACAGTCTGTGCACAGCAGGCGTTCATCCTTGGCAACAAAAGGCTTTTCCACCAAAGAGTGGTCGCATTTGGTGCACTTGAAGCAACCTTCATGCCAATGACGGTTTTTGTAACAAAGATCCTTTGAGACAGTAAATAAAGTCAATTAGATGGGCTTGCAATGAAACAAGACATTTTCTAAGACAAGTTGGGACACCCTTGGGACCCTAGTAGCAGTAGGTTGTACCACTAGCTGGAGGGAATGTGTTGATATCGTTTTCTCTAGAAAGACTCTCAGGAGTAATTAAGAGCAAAAGCCTGGGGCCTGTTTGATTGGTCACTAAAGGCCACTGAAAAATAACCTCATTGGAATTTGTTAAGTTTCTCTGTTGTTCTTTTATAACCTACAAGAAAGCGTTACAGGGATCATTTTAATTTTTAGGTTACAGAATCTTATTATTCCTTGGGACTTCAAGCAAACAAATGACAATACTTAGTTAAAGCAAAGGCGAGAAAGAAAGAAAATAAGAAGCCCAGAGGAGGAAATGTGAAGTGCAAAACAGCAGTCTCGGGGCTAAAGGAGACAAGGCAGATTTTTAAGTTGGAAAGCACAGGCTTTGAAATTTTTGTGTTTTCAAATTCTTTTTTTAAATGTATTTTTTGCATATATTAGCTATTCCAGAAGTGACTCAATATTTAGTTGTATAACTCTGGGGAAATAATTTAACTTCTTTACATTTTTAAACTACCTAAAAACATCTTAAAAACTACCACACATGCATATACTTAAAAGAAAATATACTTAAAGTTGTCCTAAGTATAATAATGTGGGATTAAAACATGCATTCCGGGGGGGGGGGGTCTGAAAAAGCATGGGATAAAATCGGACTTGCTGAACATAGTAGACAATGAGGACTACTGAGAACTCAAGAACAATGGCAATGGGTTTTTGATCCTACTGCACGTACTGGCTTTGTGGGAGCCCAGGCAGTTTGAATGCTCACCTTACTAGACCTGGATGGAGGTGGGTGGTCCTTGGACTTCCCATAGGTCAGGGAACCCTGATTGCTCTTCGGGCTGATGAAGGAGGGGGACTTGATCAGGGAAGGGGGAGGGAAATGGGAGGCGGTGGCGAGGAGGAGGTAGAAATCTTTAATAAATAAATAAATTTTAAAAAAGGAAAAAAAGAAAATATGTGAAAGAAAAAAAAAAGCATGCATTCCGCAGCACTACATATCGGCACTTGATATGATAATACGGTACAAAGTGTGGGTAGAAAGTCCACATGCAGAGACAAGGGCCACTCTGAAGCAGTTACCCACCGTTCCTAAGCAGCGACGGTGTCAACTGAAGTGATACCTACCTTAGAATCCGATTCAATTGGCTCTTTGCACTGCTCACAATAGTTAGAAAAGATCCGATCATAGCAGGAAACGCAGTAGAGATGATCATCCTTGAGTACGTACTTCTTCCCAAGAAGCGAAGTCGTGCAGTATTGGCATTCAAATTGAGTACTTGCCATTTCTGTTTGGTCCTGTGCAGAAGAAAATGATTCTTGAACATAAAGCAAAGTTTCATTACAAATGGTAAGTCCTTTATAAGATGTAGCTCAAGCACTTGAATTTATATATTACTAGGCAAAAATTCCTAAATTCACAAATTTAGCACGCTGTTTGCAGTTGTGGTGATTTAGGATAGGCTACTCTTCCATCTTGGCATTTCTTTTGTATGCTTTTTCTCTTAGAAGTAAAATCAGCCAAGTTGTGAAACAAAAATCTTTTATTTACCATGTGCCAATGTGGAAATCTATGAAAATACAATATCTGCAGCACATGAAACATCAAACATGATAATATGACCTGTAGACTGGGTGTTTAAAACTGGCATTACGTAACTATCTCAAGAGAGTTCTGAAAGTGGGATTTGATAGAAGTAACAATTCTTTTTTATTCAAACTTGAATAATTAGTATATGTACTGCATTTCCTACTCCTAACTTCTCCTTGAATTCCTAATAAGGGTCTTCTATATTAATCTGAACTCTTTCTAGACCATATACTTCTCTCCTGGGATACCCTCACCTGCTGTTCTAATAACAGCTCTAAAAAATGCTTCCTGATACCTTTAGTCACCGGGAATTCTGTGTTTAAATGTCCTCACCAAGTTAAAAACACAAACTCCTCTGTAGGTGTGATCCAGTCCACGTGCTAGGCTTTCAAGGCTTTGGTTGAGCAATGTCCCAGGTATGGGGATTCCGAAAAAACCGTGGGATTCTTTAAGCTTTGGGGTAAAACCAGCACGTGTATGGTATGAGTCGTACAACAGCCTCCAGCAGAATGAAAACTGACAAAAATACAAAGCTAGGGCTAGAGTAAGATTTCGGGTTATTTTATGAAATAACCAAAAACAATATCAAAAAAAAATAGAACTTGCAATCTCTAGTTTTGTTGAAATGTTTTCTTATTTTCCAACTTATATTTCTTTTATTTAAAAAAGACAGAAGATCAGGAAATTAATATGGTGCTTTAGAATATTTTGATGCTAATTTGTATCTAATCCATGTAAAGTGTTATCCTAAAATATTTCTATTTTATTTTAGTAATGAAGCTTGCAGCAGAGTTTCTTGGCAAATGCGCACTGTCATTAGTTCTGTGTGTATTCTGTCTGTATTGGCTTCGCTTTTCACTCTTTACAACTAAGTAGGGAAAGAATGAGGATCTGGAACACAGGGGTCTTTCCCGGGAAAGATACAAACTCAGCCTCGAAAGTTCCCAATGGGATATGCCCAAAATTATCGCAAGGAACATTGAATTCCCTATTTGATTAATTTCACAGAAATGTCCTTTCCTAGTGAGTACAAACATATTCAAAAGGCTCTGAAAACAGCAGGAAAATAGATCTGATTCCCCTGAAATGATAAAAAAAAATTTTTTTTAAATTACATTTACAGTGATCAGATCAAGTGTTTAATCTCCACAGTAGATATGGTACTTTTAAGGTATGGAAATGTCATTTTCATTGTGAATATGTATTCAGTTTAAAATGCACACAGGACCACTATGAAGAGTGGGTTCTCTCCTGGATTGGATATGCTTGAGAAAGGATTCTTACTGGGGTGGATAAGGCATACAAGAAGACCTTGAAATTTTAGTTTTGGGACCTCTGACTAAATGGGGTGAGGTTAGATAAAAAGATGAATCTTTTTATGAAATTTTACCCTCCACTTTTTTTCTAGGCACCATTTTGTATTTTCTTCCCTTCTGTCTATGGAATCAATATGTTTTTAATGAGAGAATTGTTTTCCTGTACAAGATAAACAGCCAGTTTGTAATCCTTGTCCAAAGGGTGAAGGAGGGTGGAGGAGCAGAATACCCTTTCCCAGTACTACTTGCCAAAGACACTAGGATTTTTTTTCCCCAAGATTTTAAATGCTAGAGCAAACCTGATTTGTGATTAGGAGTCTGAAGAACTATTAGTGTTACTTATGTGTCTCCCAGGTCATGATTCCTCCCACAGGGAATGCTCAGAAGCCCCACCCTGTGCCAATACTTTGTAAGTCAGCCATTGGAAATTAATATGTAAGCAATTTCCTAAGTCTATAATCTACTATTACATGGATGACATTTTGTTATCTGAGTCAAATGCAGATACTTTAGAAAGGATATTTGAAGAAATTAAGAAAGTTTTGCCTAATCCTCCTGAATATTAACCTTCCTTCATCAGGCGATGAAAGGAGACAGAGACAGAGACCCACATTGGAGCACCAGACTGAAATCTCAAGGTCCAAATCAGGAGCAGAAGGAGAGAGAGCACAAGCAAGGAACTCAGGACCGCGAGGGGGTGCACCCATACACTGAGACAATGGGGATGTTCTATCAGGAACTCACCAAGGCCAGCTGGCCTGGGTCTGAAAAAGCCTGGGTCAAAACTGGTCTCGGTGAACATAGCGGACAAGGAGGACTACTGAGACCTCAAGAACAATGGCAATGGGTTTTTGATTCTACTGGACCTATTGGTTTCGTGGGAGCCTAGGCAGTTTCGTGGATGCTCACCTTACTAGATGTGGATGGAGGTGGGTGGTCCTTGGACTTCCCACAGGGCAGAGAACCCTGATTGCTTTTTGGGCTGACGAGGGAGGGGGATTTGATTGGGGGAGGGGGAGGGAAAGGGGAGGCGGCGGTGGGGAAGAGACAGAAATCTTAATAAATAAATAAATAAATTAAAAAAATAAAAAAAAGAAAGTTTTGCCTACTTGGGGGTGGGGTGGGTTGGGGATAAGGGGGACAGGGAGAGAAAAGTAAGAAGGGGAGGATTGGGGGAACTTGGGGAAACAGGAAGATTGGGATAAAGGAAGGTTGGATAGGGGAGCAGGGAAGCACACATCTTAGTTAAAAGAGCCACCTTAGTGTTGGCAAGAGACTTGAACCTTGAGTGGCTCCCAGGAGCCCAAGGCGATGTCCCCAGTTAGTCCCTTGGGAAGCTGAGGATAGGGAACCTGAACTGACCCTATCCTATAGCAATACTGACGAATATCTTTCATATCACCATAGAACCTTCATCTGGTGATGGATAAAGATAGAGACAGAGACCCACACTGGAGCACTGGACTGAGCTCCCAAGGTCCCAATGAGAAGCAGATGGAGGGAGAACACGAGCAAGGATGTCAGGACCACGGGGGGTGCACCCACCCACTGAGACAGTGGGGCTGATCTATTGGGAGCTCACCAAAGCCAGCTGGACTGTGACTGAAACAGCATGGGATAAAACAGGACTCTCTAATCATGGCGAACAATGAGGACTGATGAGAAACCAAGGTCAATGGCAAGGGGTTTTGATCCTACTTCATGTTCTGGCTTGATGGGAGCCTAGCCAGTTTGGATGTTCACCTTCCTAGACATGGACGGAGGGGGGAGGACCTTGGACTTTCCACAGGGCAGGGAACCATGACTGCTCTTTGGATAGGAGAGGGAGGGGGAGAGGAGTGGGGGGAGGGGGAGAAGGGGGGGGGGGGGGGGGGGGAGGGAAATGGGAGGTTGGGAGGAGGCGGAAACTTTTTTTTCTTATTCTCAATAAAAAAATATAAAAAAAAGAAAGTTTTGCCTAAATGGAGATTAAAAATTGCTCTTGAAGAGATTCAAAGACGAGATTCTGTTAATTACCTAGGTTATAAAATAGGGTTACAGAAAATTAAAACACAAAAGGCACAAATTAGGAGAGACCAGTTGCAGACTTAATGACTTTCAAAGATTATTAGGAGACATTTCCAGTCTATGACCAGCTGTTAAGATAACACCTGATCTAATAATTCATTAAAAAAAAAAACCTTAAATGGCAATAAAGACTTGAATAGTCCCAGAAAATTAACAGCTGAAGCAGAAAAAAAGACTTAACAATTGTTGAAGAGAAATTACAGGAGTCACATATGGATAGATGAATCCAAATCTTAATTGTATTCCTTTCAGAATCTCCCCCATAGGAATTTCTTTCTTCTTTCTTTCTTTCTTTCTTTCTTTCTTTCTTTCTTTCTTTCTTTCTTTCTTTTTTTGTTTTTTGTTTTTGTTTTTGTTTTTGTTTTTTTGAGACAAGGTTTCTCTGTGGTTTTGGAGCCTGTCCTGGAACTAGCTCTTGTAGACCAGGCTGGTCTCGAACTCACAGAGATCAGCCTGCCTCTGCCTCCCAAGTGCTGGGATTGAAGGCGTGTGCCACCACCGCCCGGCTGGAATTTTAATACAGAGGGATGATCTTAGAATGGACCCTTTTCCACATAAACTAAGTAAAAAATTAAAAACTTATGTGGAAAAGGTCTCTAAATTGATTATAAAAGGTAAATTGAGACTTCATCAATTAGCAGGTATAGACTCAGTAGAGAATATAGTGCTTTTCACTGCTGAGGAAATAAAAAAAGTTATAGGAAGACAATAAACCATGGCAAAGAGTTTGCGCTAATTTTTTGGAAGAAATTAATAATTATTCCAAAAGCAATAGACTTAACCTTATAAAGAAAACTTCTGCCTCAAACTATACGTGATGCACCAATAACTGGAGCCCAAACATTTTATACTGATGCAAACAAATCAGGGAAGGCAGGTTACAAATCAGAAGGTTTAAGTAAGGTGGAACAAAGCCCTTTTAATTCTATCCAAAAGGCAGAATTTTATGCTATTCTTATGGTTCTACGGGATTTTAAAGAACCGCTCAATATAGTTACTGATTCATAATATGCAAAAAGAGTTTTTTTGCATATTAAAACAGCTAAATTTATGCCAGATGATACAAAATTGACTTCATTATTCTTTCAGGTGCAAGACATAATCAGGAATAGACTTTGTCCTATATACATAATACACATCCAATCCCATATGCATCTGCCAGGTCCTCTATCACAAGGTAACAGAAACTGATCAATTATTGATTGGAAGTGTGTTGCAGGCCTCTGAATTTCATAAAAAGAAAACATCATGTCAATAGCAAAAATTTAAAGAAAGAATTTCCTATTACATGGCAACAAGCTAAGGAGATTATAAAGAGATGTCCT